TAAGAACTTCCATTCTACAGAACATTCCCTTCCCAGTCGGAAATCCTTCAGAAAAGGTGTCCCTGCATCAGAAAAATGTTTCCCATATCAGACTTCTTTAAGGTTTTCATTTCCCACCCCCCTCTCTGGCTACATTAAAAAAAATGTACATTTCTGGTTATTACTTCTTCCATACTGTAAAGGCTTTACAGAGCTGATGATTTTGTTTGCACTCACAGCTGTAGGAGAGAGAAGTGGAGCGTGACAGGCAAGTTGTGAGGAAATCAAGCTGTCATTAAGACCCATGGATTTCAGAGCACAGCAAACCAAGAACTCCTACCTTGTACTCCTGAGCAACCTTCTCAACTGGAACAGTGTGAGCGTGGCATCTGTCACACACCTCTTCAGTCTGAGTCTCTTCACAGAGCAGGTGCAGAGCCTCCTGGCTTCCCTCTCTCATGTTCTCCTCTCCAGCTCCCTTGGCTGCCTGTAAACTCAGCTGTTTGGTTATTTTGACAATGTTTGCCAGCTGCCTGTTTGGTCTGAGATTTCTCTGTGGCATGACTTGTCTGCACTGGGGGCAGGAGCAGTTAGGACCCAATCCATCCCAGCACTGGCTGATGCAAACTCGGCAGAAGTTGTGCCCACAGTCCAGAATCACCGGATCTTTGAAGAACTCCAGGCAGACGGAGCAAGTAGCTTCATGCTGGAGACTCCCCACGGGGCTCTCTGCAGCCATGGCTCCCACCGAGCCGTTCAACAGGGTGTGTTCAGTTCTTCAAATTGAAGAATACACTGCATCTAGACAAGGCAGGACAGCAGCTGGGTGTTTCCCTTCCTGGGTCTGACTCATGCTGTTTTTGCTGGGCTGGAATGAGACAGGTACTGCAGTTCCCACTCTGGAGGCTTGTATGAGAATGGGGATAGCAGACTTGGGGTCATGAGGTGGAAGTTGTTTCTTTATTCCTAGCTTCTAGTTCCTTATGCAAAAGGAGTTTCTGGATCATTAATGTGGGGATAACTCATTACTGCAAGCTGAACTGGGATTTGTTTCACACTCATTTGTGATCATTACTAGCAGTAGTTGAATAAAACATTAAATGCTGCTGTATTCTGTGATGAAACAGAAATGATAAAACTTGTATTGAATCCAATGCAGGAAAAAACACTCTCAGGGGTTACCCCAAGTGGCACATTGCTGGGACCAGGGACTTTCCTAAAGAATCTGGGACAGAGCATGGCCTTAATCAAAGCTCGCTGGCAGGCTGCCGCAGGACACTTCCCTAGGCCAGTCCTCTATAAACATGGACTTTGACTAGGAACTCTGCTAACTGCTGTCTTGGGTCATCACAAGCGACATGTCACTGTGACCAGGAGACTGTCCTGAAGGAGCCGGGACAAGCTTTGGTTCAAGCAGTGCCATATTGACTGGCACTCTGCTACTACATGTCATCCCCTCTGCCAATCTGTTCAACCAGGGGCATGACTCTTGAATACAGAATTCAGTTTTGACTAAATGGCAATGACAAAAAGCTGCCTCATGAGAAAGTAGCCTGTCCCTGGGCTCATCAGGAGAGTTGCTCAATCATAGGAAGATGTCACATGGATCGACTTAAGCCAGATTTGATTACTGACATCAGTCAAACCCACTTTCCTTATTCAAATGCCATGATGGAACAGAATGACCTGGGAGGCATCATATGGCACCATGCCACTGAAAGACAGAACTGTAGGTGGGGCAGGTCCCCGACTCCCCTGGTCACGGGGGCATGTCTCTTGGGATGAGCTGTGAAGCATTTTTAAAAAATTGAATTCAACATTATTTATTTTATTTCTAGAAGTTTCATGCTAGAGTTACTGAATGTCATATTTTATTATGATTTGTGGGCAGCCATCACAAATGATGACATATTCTATAGTATTTTAAAGTATATTAATCCTTTTTTAAAAGTTTTGGATTAAGGAACGAGGAACTGGGAATAAAGAACCAACATCCTGATCAGAAGGTTTCTGAGAACTGCAATTCTACAGCACCATTGTATTGCTGATCGATAGCTATAACACCAATGATCTTCATCCTTTCACCCTTAAGTAGTCTGTAGCAGCACCAACATCTTATTAGTTTAGTTAAGCAACCCAAAGACTCATACAGTCACTTACATATTCATATTAGTAATAAAATGAGATTCTTTCTCCAGTTTGTAAATATGGTGTGCTTTCTGATATTGGTATAGATATTGGTATAAGAGTGGTCCTTCAGAATGAACCACGATCCTCCATACCCAGCTATTTGCTCTTCCTGCCAGATAAGCGACACGAAGCAGAGAAGACCTGAGACAAGCCTCATAGGCTGCTGAGTGACAAAATCTTCCCAAACAGCATCCTCTTCCTTCTTACTGGCAGTAGGCTGTAAGAGAAGGGTTAAGAGATTTTTGTTTGGAAGGAGATGTACTCTGTCCCAGCCCCCAGTGATTCCATTTAAACCCTCTGTTCAGAGATCCATTCATTTTGGGTTTGCCTCATTAAGTGATGTCAAAAGCAGAGACAAGAACCGACTCATGCCTTACCCACAGAGACTGTTACCACAGCTAAATGTTCTCTATAGCTTAAAGTTGTTCCCTTTCATCAGGAAGTGCTTGGATATGCACAAACCAAGAGGAAACAAGATGAAGCACAAATGAACCAGGTGATAGAAAATAAAATAAGCTTTGTTCTGGTTATTCTAAACCAATGGTTCGTGACGTTTTTAGACTTGAGGTCCCCCCTAGGAGTGTGCCGGCTCTTAGTTTCCACTCTTTTTTGCTTACAGAAAAATAATAGAGCAATTTGAAATCTCCAGGTTTATCTTGTGAATCATGTTTGTAAACCTAACAGTGTTGTGGCACCCTGGTTGAGAATCACTGCTCTGAACACTCTCCCATCCACCCTAAATGTTGTTTAGAGAGTGAGGCTACCCAAAAAACAACTCATGAGCCAGCAAATTTACAGTCAATTTAAATTAGTTAGTGCTACAGCTTTATTTTAAAAGTGCAGTTTAATTAAATTAGAAGCTGAACTCATATAGCAATTTAGTCACTGCAGTAACTTCAGAAGAGCTCTTAGAAATGACAAAAGCCAGGTTATCAATGTTCTGTGTATCACCTGTTCCTAGAACACAGAATAATATCTGTAACCTCTTTGAACTGTGGGGAAAATTATATTTGGTTTATCTAGATGTTTGTGGTGTTCACCACCTAAAATGCATTATCTGGCATTAACAGTTTTGAGAGAGAGTTATGTGTAATTATGGAGCTTAGGTTTTCATAGTCCAATAGAAACAGTATGTTTTCTACTGCATGGTGTTAGACATTAGCTTACCCAAATGATTGGCTTTTTCAGAATTACTCCATTCTGTTCTTTCCACTCACTAAGAGATGCTCATCGTATTTACCAATATAAATGAACACAATACCATGAGGTCTTGCATCTGTCCAAGGGCCAGGAGGAAAAACCTTGAAAGCCTATTCCTGATAGCTCTAATATTTCTTGCTGGAAGAAGTGTGAGTTTTGCAAGAGCCTAGACTAGACCACACAGGGTGAGTCCTCAGGGACTGTTTTTTACTCTCTGGATTCAGAGACATCAGACAAAAAGAAAGGGGCATTAATGCTAAAGCTTCTCTGGGAAGGGATCGCAGTGTCTCTTAAGAAACCTGCTGGATCTTTTTGATATGGAGTTAATAGATTGGGGCACTGGCTGCATCCTCTCAGAAGCAGCCACAGCAGCTTTGCCAAGTCCTTCCCTTTTAATACACTTGCACAACCTCCTGCATCTGGTTTCTCAGGCTTTCTTTGTTGCCCTCCTTGCTCTTATCTTTCTGCTCCATAAGCAGTTTCTTATCTCCCTCTCTCCTCTACTTGGCAGGCTTCCCAGCTGGTTAGACCGTAGGCAGCTGTAGTGCAAGCTGAGTTTGCCTGAATCTTTGACCTTCACTTTTGCCAAGTTAATTATGAGCCAGAAGCCAATGACTACAGGCACCTGGACTAGGATCTAAAGAGGGTATTTTCAGTTTAGGGTATGGTAGTGTTTGCCTGGGGTATGCTCGCAAATACACAAATTCTTGGAAGGGGCTGGGAAGGTCATGATAGTGAATACAAAAACCTCGTTCAGGTCAGTTTCTGCACTGAGGCTTGTCCAGTATTTGGCTTTCTTTTTGTCTCTAGGTTTTTTTTCCTCAAGGGGAAAGGGATACTTTAGTCTTTTTAAATTTTATTTTATTTTAAATGGAGCACCTTTCTCTGTTCCATTTTCCCTTTACATGCATTTGGGATAACTATTTAACCCTGTACAAAGAGGCAAACTGCAAAATGAAGTCTTCCCGGGAGGGGGTCACAATGCCCCTGATGGCTGCTCAGCCCTCACCAATCTGGCTTCTTTTGGGCACTCCCCTTCAGTCACCCACCACACCTTGGTGTTATTATTAACTTTTAAGGAAAGGGAGGCTGCCCCAGGACTTCCCAAGCCTTGTCTTACTTTTATAAGCCACAGGTGCCAGTGGTCATTGTCTTAAG